CCCATGTTTTCTTTCGTTTCTCTTTTTGTTTTAATGTTGTACTTGATGTATATGATACTAACCCTTTTATTTGTGTACAGGGCAAGATTAGTGCATAGTGGGAGAAGTTGGGGTCAAGAACCAAGACATATTCTGTTCCTGGTCCACCACGACTGCGGTGGGACCGCGGCACGAGCGCGGTGAATCACGACTATTCTGTTTTGTCTTTCTTCTTTCACCGCGACCGCGGCACGAGCGCGGTAAATTACGCCTATTCTATCGCCCAGGTAAGTTCTAATTAATTTTGTTATTTTATTTTATTTTTTTCTCTTTCTTCTTTATCCCTTCTAAACCTACCCCCCCCCCCCCACCACCACCACCACCACCACTTCCCCCACTCCTCATTCTCACTCTAAATCCCTAACCCCACGCTCCTTCTTCTTTTTCTTCTTCCCATCTCTCACAAATCCATTTCTCTCCCCCACACACACTTCCGACTCCCGACTCCCCAACCTCCATTACACTCCAATTCTACAAGAACCAGGTATGTCATGATTTCCTTCTCTATTCTTCTCCCCTTCTATTTTGCTATTTTAATGTTTGAGTTGTTGTAGTATCTATAGTTAAATTTTTGGTTTTCTTTTCTTCTTTTTAGCGGGTAATGTGTAGAATGTAGTAGAGAAGGGCATAGTGGTGTTGTGTGAAGTTAATTGTGGTGGGGTGGAGTTGTGAAGTGATAGAGGTTGATTTGGGGGGAGAGTTTGTACTTCCATGGGATAAGTGTGTTAAATCATAGTTCCCTGCACACCAGGTGCTTGTGAAATTGCCTCAATTCTGCTGTAATGGCTAATTGACCATGGTGGTGGTGAAGTCTGATTAACCACCCAGGGTTCACACAATTCAAACCCTCACTAATAGTAGCCCTTGTTTTGTCAGGTGCAATGCATCAGTCAAGAAAAAGACGTGCCACTGGTTCCTCCGCTAGCGGGCCAGGAGGTTCATCTAGAGCTCGAGCTCAGGCTAGTTCAAGCCAGTTTGACCGCACTCGGTTTGACTCCAAAGCGGCTCAAGATAGGTTTAATGCAAAGTCATCCAAGAAGTTGTTGCCTCAGGTACACATTAACAGGCATGCCTTGCGAGTTGAATGCCCAAGTATATATGAAGAATTGAGGAGGCATCAGTTGGACATCTTCTTTAATGAACCGGAAGAGGGCAATGTACTGCTGGTAAGGGAATTTTATGCGAATTGCCCAGAACATGTTGATAGGGTTGTCACGGTACGCAATACCCCGGTGGATGCGTCTCTTGAGGCCATCCGCCGAGTGTACAGGTTGCCGGTATTCACTGGAGAGACAGATTATTACCAAGATTATCAACGCCCACCTATCTGGTGGCAACCAATTGTTGAAACAATCTGTGTGGCTGGCCGGTATCCAATATGGATAAAGCCGAGAATTACCCTAAACTCCCAATCTCTCACTTGGGAAGCTAAGTGTTGGCTAACAATCATCAACAGCCGTTTGTACCATCCAGCAACACTACAGATGTTAATGGGCCAAGAGCGACGGCAATTTATTGTTTTGTAACCCACCAAGATTTTGTTGTGGCCCGGCTCATTCAGGATGAAATGTTCATTCGCTCCCCGGAAATACTCAAAGGGTTCTACTTCCCTTCCCCGGTCACCAAGCTGTATCGTGCTTCACGAGTTCCTGAAAATCCCATAGTAGATGGGAAGTTGCCATTAAAAGCCCCATTCAAGGCTAGCAAAATCACAGTTGGAAAAGAGCAGGTTGTGGTGGATGATGATGATGCCGATGATGATGATGAGGGAGCTATGCATGTTGCCGCCCCACCGGGGCAGATTGCTGATGAGGCGGGGCCATCACAGGCCCGCCGGAGTACCCGAATGACAGCCTTAGAGCAGAGAATGGCTGGCCTATGCACTTCTGAGTGCTAGAGTTGACACTTTGGCTACTCAAAATTTTAGGTCAGAGAAAAAGATCATGGGCTGGCTCCGGGCGCTAGGGAGAGCGTGTCACCTCGATGCTGGCACCGTCTCCGATCAAGACTGAACACCAGGGAAGTCTCTGTACCTTACTCTGCTTTAATTTCTTTGATGTGGGGACATGCCAAATCTTTAAGTGTGGGGTGGGGGATGATTGTTGTTCCTTTACAATTGTATAGATTTGTTTGGTATTTTTGGTTGCTGTTAATTAACTTCGACTTGGCCCAAAGACGGACACCTCTCGACGGGTCTCTTGAGGGACTTAAGTCGAACAAAAAAAATAAAAACAATAATAAAGAAAAAGATTTTCTCCTGTTAAATAGTGTATCAACTCCCCCTTGGTTTTTCTTTTAACCACGGTTCTTTTCCAAGCGTTTCCATTTGAACCGAGTGTAGTTAGTTTTTTTTTTTTTTAGTTTAGGAATTTTTGCGCGAAGAAGAATAGAGATTGCTATAATGTGACATTCAAGCTCATTAGTTGACTCTAGCAATAGTCTTAAAATGTGTGTTCTTGAGTTGGCTTAAGCACCTTGAGCAGAATGTATGATGGTCATAACTGAATTGAGTCATGTGCCATGTGTGAGTGAGGCTTTGTGTATTCTATGCTAACACTCAATGCCTAGAACTTACCCTGTGTGTCGAAGCGAAATGGTAGTCTTAATTGGTCTGGAAAGTGATATAGGCGTTTCCTTATTGAACCTATCTATATATGTTTCCACCCACCTGATTGTGTATATCCTAGTTAACCCCTTTGAGCCAGTAATCTTGTTTCTTTGGCAACCACATTACAAGTCTTACCCAAATTGTGAATTGTCTATCTTTTTGAACCCTATCACCTCTTAGAAGCACTTGAATTGTAATGAATATGGAAAAGTTAAAGTGGGGGGTGGTTGGTTGGACTTTTGAGTGGAGCTAATGAAATAAGGAGAAAGGTGAACTGTGTTGAAAAAAAAAATAAGAGCCACTTGTATTGAAAAAAAAAATTCCTTGCTAAATGGCGACTCTTGATGTAAGTGTGCTTAAAGAAATAGGGGGTTTAACTCAATGATGTAAAGGTGGAATGAAGGTTTGACAAAGGTAAGGGCTTAAAAGTGAAAGATGTATCAGAAGTGCTTAGGGAGGTGTAGTCACTATACCCATATGTATCCTACCTGTCCCGCAGCCAACATTACAACCAAATAAAGTCCTATTTGATTCTAGATCAAATGAGCTCGATTAGTCGAGTATTACACTACGGGCAAGCCTATGGTGCGTTGTTTGTGGCATAAGAATTTCTTTCTGAGGATGAGTAGAATCTTACGTATTTGAATTCCTCAGTGTGTGAATTACAATGACCATGACGCAAGTCTCTTTTGTGGTGAGTAGGCACCTCTGACTGAGAGTATGAAAGCCGGTTAGGGACATTACGTGGCTAGAAAGACAGTCCACTCTTGAGGTTAAGAGGTTACGCTAAGGTAGTTTATCTATGTGAATTATTCTTGGTATAAGGAGTAGGGAAGTGACCCAGTGATGATTAGGCCTATAGAGTGTGGTTTTGTTGCTAGAGGACTAGCAACGGTTTAAGTGTGGGGTGTTGATAGTAGCCTATATTATGCGATGTAGATGCTATTTATGCTCTAAGTTAACCATACTTTATTGATGTTTTAAGTGCTAACTGATAACAAAATGCTCTAATTGGGGTTTTTTGTGCTTTGCAGGAACTACTCCGAGTTAGGAGGAGGATATAGAGTGTTTTGGGGTCAATTATGTAGATACAAGGCCAATCGAGAAGAGCCCGGATGAAAACGAGCAAGAAAAGTCCAAGAAAAACTGGGCAACAGTCCACCGCGACCGTGGTAGGGCCGCGGCTGGAACGCGGTGAAAGAAAGGCGAAAACAGAAAGTCTAAAATGATCGTGGTTGGCCCGCGACCGCGATTGATCTGGAGAAGGCGAAGAAAGTTTAAGGGCTAAAGTGTAAAGCGTGGGAAACTTATCCTAACCCTATATAAACTCAACAAACTCGCCCAAGTCAAGGTTAAGCTTGTTTTTAGACTCAATTGGAGGGAAGAACAAGTGTGAGAAGATCAAGACATCATTAGTGTTTTTCATTCCTCTTCTTGTTATCATTATTTTGAGAATTATGAATGATTTTATGGTTTTATCTTGTTTTACCATGAGTAGCTAAACATTTAATCTAGGGTTGATGGAACCAATTGTTAGATAAAGTTTTGACTCAGTTTTGTTATAACCGAGTCGAGTTTATTATATGATCGTTCAACTATGTTTTGTATGGTAATTAATTGAATGGACCCTTGATTAATCGTGTCTAATCGCCTTGTGTCTCTTGAGAAAGAATACTAGGTTAGATTGTTATTGAACAACACCACTTTTGGGTAATTGAAGAGATTCATTAGTTGAATTTAAAAGTAGGGTTAGAAATAACGAAACTTGGTGGGATAATTCAGAGATGCATAATTATCAGCTAGAGTAGTTCGAGAGAATGCTCTAGCAAATTATCGTAGTTGATCGAGAGATAATTGCGGTAACCCATAGCTCATAATCCTCATAGAGTATTACGGCGAGATTATAGCAAAAGAGTTAAGAATTAATCTAGCAATTGGGGAAGTCAATACCCTAGATTTTTTTACCATTGAATTATCTTTAATTTGGAAGATTGTTAGTTTTAATATCATTTTACTTTAGTTAAACAAATTCCAATATTTATTGATAAAAATCTTGCATCCGGGAATTGTTTGAGCTTGTACTAGCATCACTAAGAGTTGTAATAGATAGGTTAGTTCCCTGAGGATTCGACTCCAGACTTGTAAACCGGATTATATTTGCAACGACCACTTTGTCTTTTATAAGGCATAGTTGGGCGTGATCACATGGTGATCGTAACTTTTTAGCCTTTGGAAGAAGTAGTAATTTTATGATCATTGTATCAACGTAGTATAACTTTCACACGAACTTGCTAACGTACTTACATACATACACAATTACATGCATGTCAGAAATCTTGATAATGGAAGTTACCTGCAAATCACTAACTTGAAATTGCAAAGAAAAGTTTTTGTGTAGAAGAGATGTAAAGCACATCACCACCATCTGCACCCAAAATATAAACCAAAATCGTAATTTACATACTCAACCCCAATTAAGGAAGCATTTATTTTGCAACAATGTTGAATTATTTTTCCATATTTTACAAAAAATGTAAAAAAGAACTCGGCAACATACTTTGTTTTATCAACAAGAATTGGGAAAAAATTCTCGACCAAAAACCATCAAAGAAAAGGTTTACAGTTTCTTAATGGGTTTGGTTGAAAAATTAAAACAGGGAAAACATTCAAAAAGGAAACATCTTAACCTTTTTCTAAAACTAACGCCACAGAACTATTTTCTTTCTAGTACATGCAGTTCAAACAAAACTATTCAAACGAAGAAGAAAAAACGGCAATGTTCTCCATAATAAAAATAATCTTGTAAAAATTAGCCAATGGAGAGAGAGAGGGGTTACTGCAATAACGCACGCCATTCGCCAACGAACAAAGTCGGTACATTTCTTATGAGCCGACGTTGTCGTTTTATTCCCGGAGCTTGGACATTCCTCTGACTGGATGAGAACGGCATCGTTTGACTTTCCGCCGATTTCATCTGTAGTAGCACCAGCAGAGTTCTGAATCCGGTGGCGGTGGCTAATACGGCGTCGTAGAGTTCGGGGTACAGCCAGAGGAGAAGTAAAATTTGAAGAAGAATTCTGAAAGGATGTCGTCGTTCGAGGGTAAGGAGAAGAGAATCTCCGGGCCGGACTTCGGGGAACGTTGAACGATTGTGAAGGGAAAAACCAGTCTCGGTTGCTCGTTGACGGCGACTCCGAGTTCAAGGTCATTTTAGTAATTGGAACCAAAAGTTACCGGGTTTTCAGTAGCCTAATATATTAGTCCTTCTGGTTTTCTTGACAATCGTGTTGTTGGGTTTTATTAGTCAAACTTTGTGGGAAATTTTGTGGATTAAAGTGGACATTATAAAATTACCCTCATCGTCTCATAACATTTGTTATTGTTAGCCCAGCAGCACGGGCGTTATGCCTATACCGTGCACCAATAAATATAAATTTTTATAGAAATTATATAGTAGATATTTTTATAAAAATTGTCTGAATTATTTTTAAAAGCAAACTTTTGAAAATGATAAACATCAACCTTATTTATCTAACTCAGGAAGATATTTGCTTTATAAAAGTCCTTGTATACCATGTTATTTAAATTTTACTAGGAATAGATTTTGATTCTTACGCCTTCCTTTATAGGCAGATATGATCATTATAATGATAAAGAGATTATGCACGTCAATGACACTCAAGAAATAGCGGGAATTTCTCAAGAATACGTGGGTCAGGGTATAGATTAAGGGATAAAATTTGTACGAAATAGTACAAATCTGTATAGGCAGTTATATAGTTATACCAATAGAATTCTTTGTCATAATTGGAAATGTACCATATTAGAGTTTTCCCCTTCTATACAAAGGGGACCCCAATCTTTGTAAAAGAGAATCTCATTTCACTGCAATAGAATATTTCACTCTGCTTTTCTAGTTTACTTTGCTCCATAATTGTTCTTCAGCCTTAGTATTTTTACTTTATTGTCCATACTTCATTGGCTCTTAGCTCACCTCGAGGTCCCCGAGATAACCGAGCTCAAGGTCCTCATTGCTCTAACAACATTGGTTTGGTTTATCAATTCTTCTTGCTTAAACCTAATATTACTTGTATATTCATTAGTATTGGAATAAATCACATATCTTTAAAACCACAAATTATCTTTAATTTTTACTTACATTTTTCGAGGTAAACAGTTTGGCGCCCACTGTGGGGCTAAAGATAATTGTGATTATTTTAGTGCTAGTTTTCTGATAACACACGTTACTCTTCACTCTTTTTCTTGTCAAAGATTCTTTGATTTCAGGCTAAGATGTGTCTAGCTCAGCAAATGCACATGCTCATGAGATGAGGGACTCGGAGAAAACAATGGTATGGGGTCGGTGTACCACCCATAAAACCTGAGGGAGTGCCAAATATGGAGCCGATTGATATCAGTTCGCATAATGCTCTAAACATGGATGCGGGCACAGACCCAGTAAGGAATGCACGTAGGGAAGCTCGGATAGGGGACCAAGGAACGCCGAGAATGGAAGAAGGGGGAGTCAGCCTCCAAGTGATTTTTGAAATGTTGCAAGCTCAGCAAGTCGTCATCGCTCAACTTCAGAGTCAGAATAAAACTCCAAACATAGCTGAACCAGTGAACACTCAGCGTGCTGAACCAACGCTAGAGAGGCCCGATGACAGTGGCTCGGGGACTGACCCCGCGATTATGAAAATGCTCGAAGAACTAGCTAAGAGGATCGAGTATGGAGAAAAGAAAATTGAAAAAAAATGACAAAAAAGTGAAGACATACAACTCAAGGGTCGACCACATACCGGAGCACCTCCGATTTTGAAATGACTGGACTCAAAGAAGTTTGTGCAAAAACCATTCCCCCAGAGTAAGGCTCTGAAGCCCATCCCGAAGAAGTTTCGAATGCCAGATATCCCAAAATACAACGGGATCACTGATCCCAACGAACACATCACCACATATGCTTGTGGCATAAAAGGAAATGATTTGAGAGACGATGAGATTGAGTCTGTTTTGCTAAAAAAGTTTGGGGAAACCATATCTAAGGGTGCCATGATTCGATACCATAACTTACCCCCAAACTCTATGGATTCATTTGCTATGTTGGTGTTTACCGTGAAAATGGTAACAACAATTAAATTTGTAAATGAGATTCTAAAAATACGTGATCTATTCCCGAGCTAGTTTATTAGGGCAGTTAGTGCTGAAAACGCGAAGTAAAGTGACAAAAAGCGAGTTAAGCAAGGCAATAATCAAACCAATAAGGGGTTGTTGCCTAGATGCAAAGTCGGCCTGCGGATACCTCGGGGCCGGAATTCGAGCCTATCTCGAGATATCGAGGGCAGTCGGGAAAGGGATAACAGGCAAAAATATAGCTAAGCAAGGCTCTATATTATCAATATTAAGCAAAGTAACGAAGAACAAAAGAGAAAACGATAAAGTACTAAAGCGACCTCGGGCCAATGAAGATAGATAGTTTAGAAGAAAAGAGAGAGAGAGAGAGAGAGAGAGAGAGAGAGATTATTGCATTTTTGGAGAAGTGGAGCAACATCCGTCCCCTACAAGGTAGGGTGAGTCCCCTTTATATATGAGGGGAACTTGGTTATAAGTACATGTGTATTAATTACAAGAATACGAAGATGGGACGGCTTGATGCAAGGCCTCATAGTAGGCTCTAGATAGGCCGGGCCTGTCAGATGTAGCCATGTGCCTAGGGGGCTTCCCCTTCTATCCTGACCACGGCCCCCGTTTCCCCCGAGTCGGGCTTCGACGAGCCCCAAGGCTGAGAACCCGATCGTGGCCTCCCGCCCTTGGGGTCTCGGGGCATGCTTCCGAAATATCATGATAGCGAGAAATCTAGTCTTCTGATTTCACCGCGTACAGATAGTCTCCGCGTTTCCCATGCCAAAGTGATGGGAAATGATTCTGACACTTGACTCCTCGAGCTCCTTTTGGCGACATTATGCTGGCGATTCGAATCATGGCACAATCTTTTGTGATAGATGGCATATCTCATGGATTCCTGCTTGGTACTCTGTCATTTCCGCTCCTCAAGGCAAAAGTATTATCGTCGATTCGTTTTTTCAAGGAAGTAGTAATTGCATTCGCCGGTCAATATTCCAGAGCCTCGATGACCATGTCGTTTTTCCCCTATAAATGAGGGTGTTTTGGCATTGTTTTTCCCATCTCAACACTTCCGTTGGCACGCTTGTCTTTTCCTTCTCATCATCTTCTTTTTCCTTTGAACATCATGATAGAAGCTTTTGATCTCAAGGCTATTTGGAGGAGTTCCTTTGGACTGCATCGTGGCTTTCTGTCGGGGCCTCCCTTCGTTGAACATAAGCACGCTGTCCCGATACTGCTGCGGTCATCAGTATGTTGGCCTTTACCGCTGTTGTTTGCCCGAGGTGGTGATGGATGGGGAATCGGTCTCTCTCTTATGTAGGTAGTCGTTCGGATTATGCATTGCTGCTCAAAAGGGAGCCCGGAATATCCACCGCTACTCACCTTCATACCTCGGCTCGGTGTGGAACTCTGCCCCGAGCCGGGGGCTTGCACGGCTTGACGATCCAAGAAGTGGATTCAAAGTAGCCGTGCAAGCGGGACCGAGGGTTGTTCGGTCCGTTGTCTCTCCGAGGCTTCCTTGGCCAAGGAGGGTCCTTGAGCTTCGGAGAACTGTTGTGTTTTTTCATCCCTCCCTGCTCCCTGGTTCACCATTTTTGGGGATATCAAAGTGGACAGCTGAGACAGGGCTTCCGAGGGCGCTCTGGGAGATATTTCCTTTGAGGTCGTGCGCCCGAGGAAGGTGGCTTTTGGAAGTATCGACGCGGAGGTGGATTGTCGACCGTTTAGACCAGGACCCGGACCCGGACCTTCACTATATGTACCCTTCTGCTTCTTTACTTCTATGTAGAGACCCTTTTTGGGCTTTTGTAATCATATGTCATGACCCATCGGGGGCTATTGTACATAAATCTTCATAAATAAGAATTTATTTTTCCGACTTCTGCTTCCCTTACTTCGCTTTGTATTTGTATGCTCTTATGCCCTCGGGGGCTCTTCGAATGTCTTCTTTTGTCTGTTGGCCATTGATATCTGTCGTGAGAGTTCATCCTGGTCTCCAACTGATCGACATGGCTCTCCCTCGACCCTATTGTCATATTTTGGATTAAAGGTGGACCGATCGGATAAGTTCGGGCTATCGAGGCCTGCTAAATTGTTTGGAGATCACGTGTTGAATTCCGGGTCCTTCAGGAGCGTTATTCCGAATGAAGGTTGCCTTTGGGCACCCGGGGGTCCCTATCGATCTTGAGGTAGATAACCATTTTAGGATGTATAAGGTTGGCTTCCACTGAGGAGTTTGCCTGTGTTTGGGCCCTTCCTTGGGCCCTCGTGTAGCTTTGGCGATCGGAGCTTCCGAGGTTTACTCCTCCTCTCTGAGAGAAGGGGTCACGGGACCGGGCGCTTGTCTTGCGTCAAGCATTGGCGTTTAAAGCTTGTCGAGGCCCCATTTCTTGGGGTCGAGGCTTTCGATGCGGAATGCTGCCTCGAGCATAGAGATAATACGCATGGCCCCTCGAGTCTTGACTTTTGTTGGAGGATGTTTTCTGGATCTGGTATCGACCCATCGATTTGTATTGAGGTCGTTGGCTTTCCAGAGCTTGCCTCGAGCAGGGGAATCGCCGTTGCTTCTTGTATATAAGTGGGGCGGTTTCGGCTTTTTTTGCGAGTCTTCATTATTTTTAGGTAGTTGTACTTCTGTTTCGGCATAGGGCTCCTCATCTCTTTAAGTGCGAAAAGTGTTGGTGCTCGCCCTTACTTTATTTTGTCAGTTTTACCATAGTCATGGCGACCACTTCGGGACCGGCATGGCAAAGAGCGGAGAGTGTTGTTCCCGGCGCTCGGGAGACGAAGGATTTTGTTCTGGAGACGGCGTCCTTGGTAAGAGAGGAACGCCTGGAGATGGCGAGGCGATACTGCGGGTGGAGCGAGGAGGTAACACTGCAGGTGCTTCCCCCAGATGAAGGCAATCGCGGACTCTGCTGATGGGTTCTTGAGTGTGCACCTATACCCTTTTGCATTTGGTCCTCCAGATAGGGTTGTGCTTGACTTTTGCTTGAAGTATCGGGTTACCCTGGCGCAGATTCATCTGTCGCTTTGGCGAACGGTGCTGATGATGAGATTCTTCGCGGAGAAAGCCGGGCTCGAGTTCACGCTTGATCATCTCGTCAGGCTATATCGGCCTTTTCATCACCGAGGTCTGCTAACCCCGAGGGGTCGTTCATCCACGCCCTTCGTTGTTGACGACGAGGAGGGCCGAGACCGAGAGTGGGCTA